TAGTTTTGCAAGAAACTAGAGTCATCGGGGGGAAATGCAAAGATACCTTCTATCTACACAGCGGAGCCATAAGTGGAGGGCGCACACCAACAATAGGGAGAACATAAGAATGGAGGAACACTGCAGAAGGCCTACTGGTCCATAGAAGGCAGGTCCTTGTATGGGCAACACCTCTACGACTACCACTTCTTTACTACTACTAGTACTACCATTTATATTACTACCACTACTCTTGCCTCCCCTCACTCCTTTTCCTGCCCCTTGTGCCACTAAAACTAATCCCCTACTTTCTACTACTTACACTACCAGCATTACTTCTATCACTACTTCTCCACTTCCTTCTTTATTTATTTATTTATTTTTTATTTGGACATGATACATAGTTATACAAAGAAATATAGTGATTGGGTGTACATGCCAAAAGCCCCTTGTATGTAGAGTATTATAGGCAGGCTTAAAATTAACTTAAGATTAAATAAACAATGATATATTCAGTGGTAAAAATTACAGTAAACAAATAACATGAAGTACAAATGAGTATTTCAAAAAAGAAGCATTAAAGTTGTACAAATTTGTAGCATAACAATGTATAATATAATCGAATAAAATCAATGATTTGTAGTGCAGAAACAGGTCATATGGTCATTAGATGAGTTACTGTACATTCAAGAGAATGGAGTATTATATTAGGTAATGTAATTACAAAAACATAGTTTGATAGGGTCACAGGTTATACATTATGAGATACAGTTAATCAGTATTTATTTAGTTGTGGGTGAGTAATTGGTTTATAAGAAGAGACTTGAATTGATAAACAGTGTTTCTTTTATATTCACAGGTAATGAATTACAGATTTTTGGGTCTCTCATGTGCATTGCGTTTTTACATAGCGTGAGATGGACACGAGGAACATCAAAGAGTGATCTGTGCCTTGTGTTATGGTCATGTGTTCTGTTGAGGTTGGTAAGGAGAAGTTTGAGGGGAGGGTTTATATCAGATTTAAGTGTTTTGTGTATGTAGTAGGTACAATAATAAGTATGGATGTTTTGTATGGTGAGTAAGTTTAGAGTTTTGAATATTGGTGGAGTGTGCTGCCTGGAGTGGGAATTTATTATCATTCTGACTGCGGCCTTTGTTTATCCCATCCTTGTCCCCCTGGCTTATATATACTGTCTCCCTCACACTGGAGTGTTAGAGTGACTTGTAAGTGGACCAAGCTGGACTGAAACGTTGTCATGAGCTTCTCTCTCCTGTATGCGAGTTATCTATGTAATGATGGAGAAGCCAGTAATGGAGTCAGTAATGTAGGAGCATGACAGATGAGTCAGTGGTGGAGGAAACTGACCCAGGAGCATGATAGAGGAGCCAATCATGGAGAAGCATGATCTAGGAGCATGGCAGAGGAGCATGATAGACCACCCAGTGATGGAGGTGCATAATATAGGAATAATATAGGAATCAGCGATGGAGGTTAATTTAGATTAATCCAGCCAGTGATGGAGGAACATGATAGAGCAGGCAGTGATGGAGGAGCGTGATAGAGGAGCCAGTGGTGGAGCATGGAATATAACATAATTGAATATAATTGAATCACTGCTTTTCACAAAAGCATTTTAGAATATAAATACGTATATCTTTGTATTATACAAATTTTGATTCATTTATAATTAATATTCTACTGTACAACTATGAAATAATTACTTTCCTACTGTACAACTATGATATACTTCTCCTTAGTATTAAGTAGACTTTTAAGCCAATAATGTTAAGTGGCCCATAATGCCTAGGCATAATGCCCGAAATGCCTAGCCATGCTAAGCGTTCTAGTGGTACACTCTGTAATCACAATTTTACTACATGTAAACCAAACAATAACCAAATTTCTGTAAACTCAGCATTGTAATCCTTATAGAGAATAAACTTTGAATTCAATTGAATTGGATAGGCATAATAGAGGCTCTCTTTGCATTGCAACCCACTATTGTATATACACAATCTCAATGAACTGTTTGCAAAGACATTAAATAAATAAATTAATGAAATAAATAAATAAATAGATGAGCCAGTGATGGAGGAGCATGACAGAGGAGCCACTTATAGAGGAGAATTTTAAAGGAGCCAGTAATGCAGGAGCATGATAGACGAGCCAGTGATGGAGGTGCCAATGGTGGAGGAGCATGATACATGAGCCAATGATAGAGGAGCCAGTGATGGAGGAGCATGACAGAGGAGCCAGTGATGGAGGAGCATGATAGAGGAGCCAGTGATGGAGGAGCATGATAGAGGAGCCAGTGATGGAGGAGCATGATAGAGGAGTCAGTGTTGGAAGAGCGTGATGGAGGAGTCAGTGATGGAGGAACATGATAGAGGAGCCAGTGATGGAGGAGCATGATAGAGGAGCCAGTGATGGAGGAGCATGATAGAGGAGCCAGTGGATGGAGGAGCATGATAGAGGAGCCAGTGATGGAGGAGCATGATAGAGGAGCCAGTGATGGGAGCATGATAGAGGAGCCAGTGATGGAGGAGCATGATAGAGGAGCCAGTGATGGAGGAGCATGATAGAGCCAGTGATGGAGGAGCATGATAGAGGAGCCAGTGATGGAGGAGCATGATAGAGGAGCCAGTTGATGGAGGAGCATAATAGAGGAGTCAGTGATGGAAGAGCGTGATGGAGGAGCCAGTGATGGAGGAGCATGATAGAGGAGTCAGTGATGGAAGAGCGTGATGGAGGAGCCAGTGATGGAGGAGCATGATAGAGGAGTCAGTGATGGAAGAGCGTGATGGAGGAGCCAGTGATGGAGGAACATGATAGAGGAGCCAGTGATGGAGGAGCATGATAGAGGAGCCAGTGATGGAGGAGGCATGATAGAGGGAGTCAGTGATGGAAGAGCGTGATGGAGGAGCCAGTGATGGAGGAGCATGATAGAGGAGTCAGTGATGGAAGAGCGTGATGGAGGAGCCAGTGATGGAGGAGCATGATAGAGGAGTCAGTGATGGAAGAGCGTGATGGAGGAGCCAGTGATGGAGGAGCATGATAGAGGAGTCAGTGATGGAAGAGCGTGATGGAGGAGCCAGTGATGGAGGAGCATGATAGAGGAGTCAGTGATGGAAGAGCGTGATGGAGGAGCCAGTGATGGAGGAGTGATATGGAGGAGCCAGTGATAGAGGAGCGTGATAGTGTAAATAGTGTGCGCAGTGCGAGCTTCACTGATGGTGGGTTGGGAGGGACGGTGGTGGGGTTGTTGGAGGGGTGGAGGAAGGGATGGAGGAAGGGATGGAGGGGTGGAGGGAGGGAGGTCTTCCCATCTTCTCAGGTATGGCTTGTCTACCGCTTCAGTGACTGGTGTGAGTGTAGCTCCCGGGCCTGGCCCTTAACATACCCAGTGTCACCACCAGCCTGGCCCCATCTTACTCCCAGGGCCACCACTGGCCCCTCACTAGCTCACAGTGGCCCGGGTGTGGCCCCAAGAGTGGCCCACGCAAGTGGTAAACAAGTGGCCTGTAACCCCCCATCCACTGCTGGTATTACTGCAAGATGAAAAGCTAAAATGAGTGTTATTACTGTGGGTGAGGGCCAGGGTGGTGTGGCCCCCGGGACCATGTGCCTGGGGGCCCCGGGACCGTGTGTGCGTGTGTCTCCGGGCCCCTAGAACCGTGTGTGCGTGTGTCTCTGGGCCCCCAGGACCGTGTGTGCGCCAGGGCACGAGGGCCCTAGAGGAAGGCCAGGGCAGGATGTAGGAAAGTAACCGCTGTGGCCCCCGAGGACCATGTGTGTGTTAGGGCCCTCAGGAACATGCAAGTGCCAGGGCACGAGACCCCTGGAGTGAGAGAAAGAGCAGATAGGAGGAAAAGGCACTGCTCTGGCCCCCAGGATCATGCGTCATGGCTCCAGGACCCTGTATGTGTTAGGGGCCCTCATGACAGTGCAGTTGCCAGGGTATGATTTCCCTTAGAGGGAAAGCCTGAGCAAGAGGTTGGAAAGTAACTGCTCTGGTCCCTAGGATTGTGTGTCATGGCCCCAAAACTGTCAGGGGCCCTATGACCATATGTGTCGGGGAACTTCCAGGACCATGTGTGTGTCAGGGGGGCCCCCAGGACCATGTGTGTGTCAGGGGGGCCCCCAGGACCATGTGTGTCGGGGGTCTCAGGACCAAGTGTCTACCTACCAGCCTCCTGGAGGGTATTCAGGGGATCAATGCCCCTGCAGCCCAGTCCACAACCAGGCTGCCTGGTGGATCAGGGCCTGATCAACCAGGCTGTTACTGGTGGCTGCATGTAGTCCAATGTATGAACCACAGCCTGGCTGATCTGGCACCGACTTTAAATATCTGTCCAGCTCCCTCTTGAGCCAAAGGTCTATTTGTAGTTCCTCTTATGCATGGTGGGAGGCTGTTGAGCAGTCTTGGGCCCTGGACACGTAAGGTATTTTCTCTTAGTGTACCAGTGGTGCCCCTACTTTTCATGGGGGCATTTTGCATCACCTGCCCAGTCTTTTAGTTTTGTAGGGAGTGATTTGTGTGTGCAGATTTGGGACCATTCCATATAGGATTTTCCAAGTGTAGATTATGATATATCTCTCTCTCCTGCGTTTCCCAAAGGGGTACAAGTCAAGTGCTTCCAAGCGTTCCCAGTAGTTAAGATGCTTGACAGAACTTATACGTGCAGTACAGGATCTCTGTACACTCTAGATCTGCAATCACCTGCTTTGAATGGAGATGTTAATGTACAACAATATTCCAGCCTAGAGAGAACAAGTGATTGGAAAAGAATTATCATTGGCTTGGCATCTCTTGTTTTAAACGTTCTCATTATCCATCTGGTCATTTTTCTGGTACATTATATGAATATAACCTAGGATAACCCAATAACATCAGTGTGACTGTATATGAAGCTACAAAAAGTTATGTAAAGAAAATTCTTCCCTTTATTTCTGATGTAGAGAAACAAGAGTATGGTACACGTTGCTAAAAAAAATATTCATGGGGCACTTGATTCTATTAAACTTTATATGGTTATTGCATCTGCAGTGTTAAATTTATGCTAAAATTCTAGCACTCCAGTGTTTTGAGTTGTCATCCATTGCTGCGAGAAACCCTGTGTATTGCACATAAATGTCTTAATCACTCCTTAATCCAGTAGTTGTGTAGGAGATGTATTTGGGGTTAAAACACTACTTTCATATTTGACTCCTGCAAGAGCTGATTATAACACACCAGTTATTTCCCACCAAGGTAGGGTAACCCAGAGAAAGAAAACACATCCTCCATCAATCATTTAATTGTCTTGCTAGAAGTGCAGTTGTGATCGTGGCACTGTTGTGATCCTTGAAAGTGAGATCCTCTGATATTACCACTCCCAGGTCCCTCACGTTATTTTTCTGCTCCATTGTATGATCAGAGTTTGTAGTATACTCAGTTCTAGTTATTATCTCCTCCAGTTTTCCATAACAGAGTAGTTGGAATTTGTCTTCATTGAACATCATATTGCTTTCTGTTGCCCATTGGAAAACTTGATTTATATCTTCTTGGAGATTAACCATGTCCTCAATGTAACCATGTCCTCATGCAGATCCTAGTTTATCTGCAAAGGATGACACGGTGCTGTGGATTACATCTCTGTCTATGTCTGGTATGAGGATGAGGAACAGGATGGGGGTGAATACTGTGCCTTGTCGAACAGAGCTTTTCACTATGGCATCTTCTGATTAGATTCTGTTGACCACTACTCTTTGTGTTCGATTATTTAGAAAGTTGAAGATCCATTCTGCATTTTACCAGTTATTCCTTTAGCATGTATTTTGTGCACTATTACGCCATGATCACAGTTGTCAAAGGCTTTTGCAAAGTCTGTGTATATTACATCTTCATTTTGTTTTTATTCCAGTGCATCCAAGACCATATCATAGTGATCCAGTAGTTGCAAGAGGTAGGAGTGACCTGCTCTGAACCCATGTTGCCCTGGATTGTGTGGTTTTTGGGAATCCAAGTGGTTTGCAGTTGTGCTTCTGAGCACTTTTTCAAAGATTTTTATGATGTGGGACATTAGATCTATTGGTCTATAGTTCTTAGCTAATGCTTTGTTGCCACCTTTATGGAGTGGGGCTATATCCATTATTTTTAATGACTGTGTAATTTTACTCATGTCTAAGCTCCTTCTCCATAGTATACTTAGGGCATGTGAAAGGGGTTTCTTGCAGTTTTTAATGAACACAGAATTCCATGAGTCTGGGCCTGGGGTTGAGTGCATGGACATGTTGTCACTTGCTTTCTCAAAGTCTATCGGAGTTAGGGTAATGTCGGAAATCTGGCCTACATTGTTAGAGTTTTGAGGCTGTCATGAAAAAATCATTTGGAATGTTAGTCTTTAACCCTTTCAGGGTCCAAGGCCAAAATCTGAAGTCACGCACCAGTGTCCAAGAAATTTTGAAAAAAAAAAAAATTATTTTTTCTTACAGAATTAACCCTTTGACTGTCGAAGGGCCAAATCCTGAAGTTGCTTCTGGTGTCGCAAAATATTCGAAAAAAAAAAAATTATTTTTTCTTATGAAATGATAGAGAATCTTTTCCCGATTGTAAAGACACCAAAAAAACGAAATTTGATGGAAAACTGACGGAATTACGCTCTCGCGAAGTTAGCGACTTCGGCGATATTTAAAAATCGGCAATTTCGCCCACTTTGAGCCCTATTTTCGGCTAATTCCGTTATTCCAGTCAACCAAACTCATAACTATTTCTTCAGAACTCTATTTTTTCTATCGATTGAGTACAAGAAACTGCCCATTTACCGATTTCAACTACCCAATAACATGGTCAGAAATTTGCAATTTGGCAAATTTCACGAAAATTAAAAAATACGACAATTTCAAAATAAGGTCCAGAATGAACAATGCAGACATTCCTGGCTCTAAAATAACATTTTCTTTGTTCATCAGTCATGTCTCCAGGTCCCTGTGATATTACTCTTGCTTTTTATTTTGAAAATTTTATTCAAACAAAAAATAGAAGATTTACTGTTATGCAGACTACTGCAATACTGTAATAATTGTAAAAATTACATCAACCCATTCATGACTGCGTATTAGAATGGCTATTTGGACATTTATTGGACAATGACATCATTTGTTCACTTTTGAACATCGGCACAAATCAAACATTTCCTGTACTTTGTGCTCCATTTCCAGGTTCTTTTTATAGTAAAATTAATCAAAATCACCTCCATTTCTATAATATAGTTTCCATTCTATCAAATGAGACCAAGGAAAAACGAGAATACAACCACAAATACTAACGAAAATAGACCACAAAGTCGGCATTTTTAATTAAAAAAAACGGTCGGAGTTTTTTTTTTTCTCATTATGCACTGCGTGCTCCAGGATTTTTTTTATGTGGTGCACACTGACCACACAGACCCATTCTCTCACATGTGGGCCTACTAGCTTTCTCCTGCCTGATTTGAAGCCGCTAGAATTTATGAGTATATATACGTCAAACACGGTACCTCGCAAACGTATATATACGGCCGCGACAGTCAAAGGGTTAAAGAGCATATTTTTGTGAAGGTAATAAAACAAAAAAAATTAGAATCTGATCAGTACTTACCGAGATACAGTGCCAAGAAGTTTGTAGAAAATGATGTGGTGGCGGCAACATCGACGAATTCCACATACGCGTATTATATTATTTTGTTGTTTTAGTTGTTTTTCTTTTCTTTTCCAATTTTTTTCTATTCCTACTAACATTTGGGGCCTGAGAGACCAATACTGTATATAATTTATATATATAAACTCACTGTATTGAACACAATAACCGCACTAAAGTTATTATCATATTATTGTTTACACTGTTTGTTATTACAATAAACATGCACAAATATTGTATAATACTAATGTTCTATCATATATTTACATATTTACAATCACTGGACATGGTTTTAGAACTGCTGGAGCTTGTGGAACTCCTTGAAACAAGGCACCATGCACAGAGGCACCTTACATTCCTCACACATAAACCGAGTGTCTTGCGTCTTTGTTGCCGTCGTTTTGTTTGTGCCACAGACAATGCATCCTTCTGAGCAAATTTCTTTTTGAGTTGATAGGAAGCTGTATTATGAAATGATCACCTTCTTTTCTCAAACGCCTTGGGTATATTGTGATGAATTCGAGGACCATGTTGTATTGCAGGTGTTGTTACCTGGTACTTCATTATGAGTTGTCTGACAACAGACAAACAAAATTCACCATACGGTGGTTCTGTTACCAGTCTTTATTTGGTACATATTATATGCATTCAGCATTGAAATGTCCATGAGATGGAAGAAAAGTTTCATGTACCACTTGTAACTCTTACGAACACAGTCAACAAAACCAATCTGCATGTCACACTTGTCAACCAAGCGCATGTTTTGTGTATAATCAATCACTGTCACTGGTTTTCGAATACGTTCATTAGTCACTCGATCAACTTTGCCACTGTCTTGCATTCATTACGGTGAATGGTTGTCAACATGTGACATCTCGTTTGTCA